ATTAGTCAAATGCAAGTCCAGTGTGTTGTTTTGCGGATTAAAATTGGAAAATGAGCCAGCCAGTTCGTCAATTGATATAGTTTTGGAAGACAGACTGAAAATTCCGGTGGTGAATGAAACAAAAAATCTAGTACTTTTGTGAGACATTGATTTGAGGTTCACAAATATATTAACCAACTTGTTCGTAGCTCTTATAATATATTGAAGCAATTGTATCTAAATAGACATTTTATGAGTTCTGATCTGAAACTGGGTGTTTGTGAATCACTGATTTCATCGAAACTGACATTATGTTATTGCGTAAATGGGCCAGCTCTTTCAACAGTCGATAGTAACCATAACCAGATAAATTAACTGTCTGCGAAAAAATCAATAATCCTGGTTTACACTTTCTTTTGGAATACGAAACTATGAGCTTATCAGCCACACATATCGTCAGTCGGGTAAATTGAAACTAGCAGATACGCAGAAATCAAATATGTTGTACTTGACTCATGAAATATTGGAAGACACAACACAACTGTATTTATATGATGAACTTATCAAAATAGGTAATTTTAGTGAGTTTAAAATCCGTATATAACTCAGGTCGATTGGCAATGCTCAAACATGAAACCTCCATATCTCAACGTTCTTTCATGTAAGTTTTATAATTAACTTTCGAATAAATTATTATTTCAGACATTAAAGCATCATTTCAAAAAAAAAGCTATTCAGTATTCTGTGCTCGTTCATTTGCACTGTGGTTATCCTTTATAGTATCGTATTCACCATGGTTGAGTTGAAAAACACCCTTCAGTGACACTTCGTCCTTTCATCTTATTTGAATTTATGTATTCATTTATGTTCATTTATATCTGTATACGTGCTTTCGTCATACAATGTTACTAAAGGTATTCTAATGAGAAGTACAATAGGTTTCTAAAATGAATCGTTATTATAGCTGACTGTTTTAAAAATATATGTTCCGCATTATGAAACGTCTACACAGGCTCTTGATTTCGTATTAGGTAACATTGACAAAGTGAGTTTTTTTGAATTCAAGTCGCTCAAAAAACAGTAGTTATTCAAGTTTGAAACTGGAAAAAAAAAACAATAGCAATGAACAAATAATTTTCTATATGCCATCAAGAAGCTACTCAAGATGAAACACATTCTGAGGAAAAACTCCGGAAATCAAATTCTAAGCAATAAAGATATCAGAATATCAATATAGAAAACGTACACATTGGAAGTTCTGGTAATTGCATGAAAATTGATGTATCGGATCTATTAGATAGAAGAAGAGGCCTAGATCAAAGTGGTACTTCTTAACGTTTACAGGAAATGGCATTTATTCAAAGCTTAGACACTCCAGAAACACACAATAGCATAATTATTCGAAAATCTCTATATCGTAGGGTACTTGACAAAATGTAGCGAACATGATTGGCGTGAAGTTATCCACAGATTTCTGGCCACACATGCTGATGTAGAGGAAAATAAAAATCTGTGGTTGGGATACGAAATTATTAGCACCCGTACTAATATCTGTGGCTGGAAATACCTATTCACTATAGGTTGAACGTGGAATCATTGAGACTATTTGGTGTTTAACTTTTTTATAGAATCTTGACTAGATTGACGCGTCGATAATCGTTTTCTCATCAACAATATAGATTTAGGGAATAATAAAATTGTAAATATTAGACTTATTTTCCAATAACCCATATAGAAATGATATCAGATGATGTGTGTCCATCAAAATCACACAACTTCTATAGTTTCTTGAGAATATTAACTTGGTGATGACAGTTTTCTTGTCATCTAAACAGATTTCGAAAAAGAAATTGTTGAAACAATCAGACTCGTCTTTTGAGATTCCTTGTATTCATGAAAATCACACAACTCTTATAGAATCTTGGGTAGATCGATAAAGTGAAAACTGTTTTCTTGTCACCCATACAGATTTCGAGAAAAAAATTATTGCAACAATCAGACTCACTTTTTAAAACACCTTGTAGAATTGGAACCAGGAGATGTGCGTTCATGAAAATTAAAAAAATTGTTGCATCAGACTCATATTTTGAGTCTGTAAATCTGTATGGGTGACAAGAAAACGGTTTTCACTATATCGATCTAACCAAGACTCTATAAGAGTTGTGTGATTTTCATGAACACATAACATATTTTTCCAATTCTACACGGTGTTTTAAAAAATGAGTCTGATTGTTTCAACATTTTTGTTTTCGAAATCTGTTCGGTTGACATAAAAATTGTTATCACTACATCAATCTACCTAAGATCCCATGAGAGTTGTGCGATTTTTATGCATACACATCATCTGGTTTCGATTCTACACGGTGTTTAAAAAGTGAGTCTGATTGTTGCAAAAATTTTTTTCTCGAAATCTGTATGGGTGACAAGAAAACGGTTTTCACTTTATCAATCTACCCAAAATTCTATAACAGTTGTGTGATTCTCATGAACGCAAATCTTCTGGTTCCAATTCTACAAAGTGTTTTAAAAAATGAGACTGATTGTTGCAACAATTTTTCTCTCGAAATCTGTATGGGTGACAAGGAAACGATTTTCACTATATTGATTTATTCAATATTCTATAACAGTTATGTAATTTTCATGAACGCACATCTTCTGGTTCCAATTCTACAAGGTGTTGGTTCCAATTCTACAAGGTGTTTTAAAAAGTGAGTCTGATTGTTGCAACAATTTTTCTTTCGAAATCTGTATGTGTGACAAGAAAAAAGTTTTCACTATATTGATCTACTCAAGATTCTATAACAGTTGTGTAATTTTCATGAACGCACATTTTCTGGTTCCAATTCTACAAGGTGTTTTAAAAAGTGAGTCTGATTGTGGCAACAATTTTTCTCTCGAAATCTGTATGGGTGACACGGAAACGGTTTCCGTTATATCAATCTATCGAAAATTCTATAACAGTTGTATAATTTTAATGAACGCACATCTTCTGGTTACAATTCTACAAGGTGTTTTAAAAAGTGAGTCTGATTGTTGCAACAATTTTTCTCTCGAAATCTGTATGGGTGACACGGAAACGATTTCCACTATATCAATCTACCGAAAATTCTATAACAGTTGTATAATTTTCATGAACGCACATCTTCTAGTTACAATTCTACAAGGTGTTTTAAAAAATGAGTCTGATTGTTGCAACAATTTTTCTCTCGAAATCTGTATGGGTGACAAGGAAACGGTTTTCACTATATCAATCTACCCAAAATTCTATAACATTTCTGTAATTTTCATGAACGCACATCTTCTGGTTCCAATTCTACAAGGTGTTTTAAAAAGTGAGTCTGATTGTTGCAACAATTTTCCTCTCGATATCTGTATGGGTGACAAGGAAACGGTTTTCACTATATCAATCTACCCAAAATTCTATAACAGTTCTGTAATTTTCATGAACGCACATCATCTGGTTACAATTCTACAAGGTGTTTTAAAAAGTGTTGCATCAATTTTTCTCTCGAAATCTGTATGGGTGACAAGAAAATGGCTGTCACTATATTGATATACCCAAGATTCTATAGAAGTTGTGTGATTTTCATGAATACAAGGAATCCCAAAAAATTATTCTGACTGTTTCAACAATTTCTTTTTTGAAATCTGTTCAGATGACAAGAAAACTGTCATCACCAAGTTAATCTACTCAAGAAACTATGGAAGTTGTGTGATTTTGTAGACGCACATCATCGGATATCATTTTTATATGGGGTATTGGAAAGTAAGTCTAATATTTTCAATTTTATTTTTCCCTAAATTTGTATTGTTGATGAGAAAACGATTATCAACGCCTCAATCTACTCAAGACTCTATAAAAATGTTAAACACCAAATAGTCTTAATAATTTCACGTTCAACCTATAGTGAATAGTTATTTCCAGCCACAGATAATAGTACGGCTGATAATAATTTCGTATCCCAACCACAGATTTTTATTTTCCTCTACGTCAGTATGTGTGGTCAGAAATCTGTGGATAAGTTCACGCCAATGCGAACATGTATGTTTGGAAGCGAAACGGTTTGATCTTGAGTATATTTAGTTGTGCAGTAAAGTATTGAAAGCCAAGTCCATTTTGTCCGTCGCTCAGACGGACAAAATGGACTCAATTCCAAATCTCTAATGATTTGGACTCATGCAAATGAAGGAAATGGGTCCAAACTTCTGATGACTTCACAAAATTGTATTGAGATGAGTGTACCCTCATGTTCATTGACATTCACACTGGAAGTCTAACTTGAAAGAAATGTGGATAGTAACTGGAACAATCCTGATGGTTATCCTATGACATACATACTCAAAGTCTCCCCCGAAAGATATCTGGATAATATCTGAAACAATCCTGGTGACTATCCTTCGGCAATTTTTTTCCTGAAAAGACCCTGGTAACTAACCAAATCAGTATCTTGATCTTTGATATCTGAATGATATTGGCGATAACTCACGTTATATCATCAAGATTTCCAACAACTTCAATATTGATACTTCATTCCATCACCTTCCAGATCACAAATAATGATTTTTTGCAAAGTGTGTTCATATTGCAAAAAGAAAGCTTCAGATATAGATTTCATCATCATATTAATGTTATCAGTTAGCCCAAAAGCATCTAGTTAACTGATTCATACTTTTTTTAACGGCGCATGTACGTTGAGTAGTAAAAGCAACGTTGAAAATATCGCGAAATCCTGTAATTTTTTTTTTCAACTTCACTTTCAAAATGTACCTTATCTAAGTTATCTTTGAATATGCCATTCATAGCCATAATATGCCTTTTGAGTCTGATCGGGCGAATTTTCATTGTTATGATTATTCCTTCAGATTATCTGTTTCACTTTATTTTCGTTTCACAAACGGTTTTCATATTTTCATTTCCAGAGTTAAAATGAAGGATTGAAGTGTTATAAATGTTATTGTTTTTACATCTAGAGACCAAATTACAACTTTATATGATGTATGAAAACAATACTCTCACTCACCAACAAATCAGCTATCGACAGATGCGTCAGCATCACATTTATCCTGGATGGATTCTTCCTGCGTCTTTTCACAATCAACACTAGCACAGTTATATTAGCGATGGCTGAAAACACCATCAAAATACTATATACAGTAATTGAGAGTCTGTGTCCATCATTGAACTGCATATTTATCGGCAGATGATGGTGTACTCCACCAGTTCTGTTGGTTTCGGACCATCCTGGGAGATATCTGTGGTCCTGAACGATTTCGTCTACGTCGATTTTCGTCATTGTAAAATTTTTCGTTCAGATGATATTCTAGAGCACCCTTCGAAGAATCTGAAAAAATATTTCAGAAATTAGAAATGCTTTTTTGACAGGAAGTGATAGTTCTTTCGTGATGAAATTTTCTGATACAGAACAAATCTCAAAAAATTTCTTAGCCTTTTTTCATAGTCAAATTTATTGAATACGAATTACTGATGAATAGAATATTTTTATTTGTGAAAAATACTTTAAATTCACGGAGTTACTATCAGGGTGAACTGAAATGCTTGCCCTTCTTAAACCTGTATGAAATTCTCTATTGAATTCTTTATATTTATCAGATTGTGGAAGATGGAAGGATCCAAAAAAGTATTTCTTTCCAAAGTGCACCTACACACACCTCCTCCGCGTTTATGAAGAGTAGTTTCAAATATGTACCATAAGTGTTTTTCAAGAACAAAACACACGCTCCTCAAGGCGCTCTAAGAGCGGTGCCTGTGAGGAAGTAGCGATCCAGGTTAGATTTGAATCGTTAGTGGTTAAATATATTTGGAAGAACGTTCTCAGGAAGTTTATTCCACAAATACGTAGTTCTCTAAATGGAAAATTTCTTGAGCAGTGAAGTTCGTGGTGTACTGAGTTGGACTTCAAAATGATGAGCAGCCGCAGTATGTCGCGTATTTCTGATATGAACCGCTCTTGGTGGGTAGCACCCAAAGGTGCTAAGTCACTTGAACACCTCCCGTAGGAGTATCTACAGAAGAGAGACACATCTCCAACCTTTCTTCGATGTTTCAGACTATCAAGGTTGCAGGTGATGTTGAAGTCACCAATCACGCAGGTGACTCTTTCCTGGATGGAATTCAGCAGCTTCAGGGTATGCTTAGGGGCGGAGCTCCATGCATAATAACAGTACTCGAATGAAAGTTTGATCCGAGCTTTATAAAGCATCAACAGTTACTGAGATGTGTACAGTTTTCTAGTTCGGAACAGTGTTCCAAGCTTTTGAGAAGCAACTTCTGCAATTTCAGCAACATGATTGTGCCAAGACATATCGGTGCCCACTTCAACCCCCAACAAACTTATCGAAGCAGAAAACGAAATTTTCTGTCCTGACATTATATCCGGTTCGGATACATTATTTTTTTTGGAAAAAACCAATGCCTGGATTTTCGTGACATTGAATCAAACGTGGTTAGTTTCACCCCAATTCGGAATCACCTTTAGATTTTCATTGAGATATGCAACCTCCTGCTGCTGGTCGGTGAAGATGTGCATCTGCAGCCGATGTCGTGGAATCCAGATGAAATAACGAGACAAGTGTGCTGTCGTCAGCAAAGCAATAAATTGGATACTCGTTTTTGTCCAAAGAGTTGTTGATATACAATAAAAAGAGGGTTGGAGACAATATGGATCCTTTAGGAACACCAGCGTAGAGGGTAATGATGCTAAAAGTATTCGGGGGATATATCGACTGCCATACACAGAAAACATTTTTTTTTCAGGAAGCTGTGTGTTGGCAATACTATTGAAGTGGCATAACTGTTGTCTGAGTCACATGTCATGTTTTATGTTAGTTGTTGTCAAGTTGCCAACTGATTTTCAGCCTTTCCCGTTTCAGTAAATGTTCACATTTATTTATTGTATCATTCTGGGAATGATGACCTATTATTATTATCATTATTATTACTATTATTCCGGGCTTTTTTATGTTTGATGTTCTGTCAAGGCATGGCTACAGCTTCTCCGAAATCAGGGAGTATCAAATGAATTGATGAAGGAAATCCCTGTGAATCACCAAATATTTTTCAGTATTTGAATTGAAGATGTTATATTTTTAGGAGCGATTAATTTTTGGGAAAAAAAATTTTTGGCTTTCTATTACTCCATCTCGATACAAAAAAAGATGAGAGAATCTTCCAAAGAAAGGATGGAAGTTATCAATTCGAAAATAGATAACTCTATACATGGATGTGTAGATCATGCAGAGAAGTAACTTTCAGACACAAACTGAAAAAAAGTCCTCCTGAAACAGCTACTTTCATATAAACATTGAATTACACGAAAGAAAAAAAATCTTTCGAAACAAATACTATGTTCTATATGAACACTGAATTATACAGAAGATACTTTTCTTTACTCAGTTTGTATTTCAAACATTCGTTGTGGAATAAAATCAGATATCACTCACATGAGTTATACTTTAAATGAATGGTAACAAATTGCACTTACATGGCACAATGTCATCCTCACTGGTATACATCGATGTTTCGCCGTAAGACACTTGCCCTAAGACTCTTCAGTACCAAATTAGATAACAATGTTATGGAGTAATCTCATGAAAGAATGGGTATTTTTTTTGTGACTTTTTTGAAAAACGTGTATTGACAATTCTATAACATTTTTATCTGACAGTAGTTATCAACATAAAAACAAACTATATCTAGATCTACAAGGTATCTCAGAACAAATAAATCAAAACTTCTTTCTTCTCTATCCACAACATACTTCCACCTATTGCGACAGTAAAAAAAATGAAAATTCGTAACGCTTGGGAGCGTTAACTTCACGTACATGACTAGTGACAATTTCTTTTTTCTACTCTTGTTTGAGATGTCGATGGTTGAGGCTGAATTGAAGAATCTCTTTCTTCAATTTTCTCTTCAGCCGTTTTCTCTTGGGATTCAGAAGATACAAGTTCTTCATCTGGTCTGGAGATTTCTAGAGGGTAAATTCTCTGGAAAAGGCGAACTATTTTCCCTCCTGTGGCTAGTTTGATTTTCGCCACTCAGGCAATATTGTCTCTTCCTGAATATACTTCTAGAATTCGTCCCATCGGCCAACTTATGCATTTCGTATTATCCTAACCAAGCAATACTATATCACCAACTTTCAATTTATCATGCCTTCGTTGACCTATATATGTGTGTATTTTCTATAATGTTATCCAATTTGGTACTGAAGAGCCTTAAGGCAGATGTCTTACGGCGAAACATCGATGTATACCAACGAGGATGACAGTGTTCCATATAAGTGCAATTTAAAAAAAACTAATCAATAGAGTTCATTCTATGGAAGATACAGTACAGCAAAAGAGACGTTGCCAACATCTATCTCAAAGTGGTTCATACATAACTGTTGTGTGAACTCCACTACATTAAATTTCAAGTCCTATACTCGGATATTCGTGATAAAGTCAATTATATCATACATAAGAAGTTTTTAACCCGGAGAAGGAAATTAGATGTTTTATTTCGGAGCAAGCCACCGAAGAAAAAGAAAAAGGCCAAAGACAGTGAACTATTTTCAAATCATAGGTTCTTTGACAGATTTGTCAATCTCACGAACACTAGTTTCACATCAGAAAAAGGTCTCAATTACAATATTAAACCCAACATAAATTCGACAAATTTAGAAGTTTTGGGAATTGATACAGATATCGCGTTGATGGGGACTTGCTACGCCAATAAACATATTGCTGCAGAAATTTTAAAATCTGAAAAGATGCATAAAGGTAGGTTCAATCCGGAATTGAAACTAGTGAAATCCATAAAAGAGAAATCGGCTGAAGATAATATTGTTTTTACGCGAGGTGATAAAGGAAAAACGGTCATAGCCATGAACAAAGAAGAATACGTAAAGAAGACTTTAGACTTTCTAGATGCTGGCATGTACGATAGTCTCAGAAATGATCATACCCATTTATATCAGAAAGAAGTCAAGGAAACTTTTAAAAGTATTCATTGTGTCATGGATGGGAAGGAAAAATTCCGATCGTTAGTCATGAACCCACAACCATCAAAATTGAATTCATTGGTTAAATTACACAAAGATAACTACCCGATAAGACCGGTAGTTTTTTTCGTCACAGCTCCTTCAGTTAAAATATCCGAAAAACTCATTGCAATTATTCGAAACCACACCAATTTCAAATCTAAATTCAGTTTGAAGGATTCATACCATTTGATCAATGAAATTCAAGATATTACTCTCCCGGATAATGCCAAATTGATTTCATTCGATGTAAAGAATCTGTTTCCTAGTATCCCTCCGAATGAAACGATTACTTTGGTGGTGAATCTATTGGACAAAAACTCTATCAATCCGGTATGTTTGTCACAGAATAACTTCCAATTCAATGACAAGTTTTACTCATCTTGCAAAGGTCTCATAATGGGAAACCCACTTAGTCCTATTCTGGCAGAGATTTTCATGGACGATTTGGAGAGAAGAATATACACTTACCCACTGGTAAAAAGTTTCCTGTATTGGTATAGATATGTGGATGATATTCTGGTATGTTTCACGGGAACGAACAGACAGTTGACAAACTTTTTGAAGTTCATAAATTCTCTTCACCCATTTATTACATTCACAGTGGAGATGGAACAGGACGAATCTATACATTTTCTGGATTTGACAATAGCATAAGTTAACAACAAACATGATTTTACAATTTATCGTAAACCGGCACATACAGATATTATCATTCATAATTCGTCAACTAGCCCATATCAGCATAAGGTAGCAGCTTTCAACAGTATGATCCACAGACTGATAAATGTACCCTTGTCAGAAGCGAATTTCAGAAATTTCAGAACTGAATATGATAAAGCAAATAGCCGTCAACAATGATTATGCTAGTGGTCTGATACATTCTTTATTATCAATGAAGTTATACAGTCAAGCTTTGAAAGAAGTTTACCCAATTCGAAGAGAAGAGGATAAAAGTTATAGAACCTTAATCTACTTAAGCCAACCCACTACAAATATTTCAGATTTCCTGCACAACAAAGGTATAAATACTGCTATCAAAACCAACTTGAGCATGCACATTAAAAATAATAAGGATAAAAGTTCACTTTCAGAAAAATCAGGAGTGTATAAATTATCGTGTGGGTCATGTCCGATGTTTTATGTAGGTCAAACTGGAAGAACGTTAAAAACCCGCATAAAGGAACACAAATATAGTTTTCAGAACGGAAAAGTAAATTCCACATATGCCAGTCATCCAATCTCAGAGGGACATGCGTTCAACCATGAATACGAACCCCTCCATTTCTTATGAACGA